CCCCAAAACCCCAAAACCCCAAAACCCCAAAACCCCAAAACCCCAAAACCCCTGATTATTGAGTTATACTTGAAAATTATATGTCATAATGATTAAAATCTTATTTTTCAGTTAAAACTCTATATCCATTCCAATCCATTGGGGCTTTAAAATCGAGGCTCTTCATATAGCTCAAGATTTGCATAGTTGGAAAGTCTTCAGCAATTAATCTTCCTTCTATTGAATTTAGATATTCTGCAGATTTCTTCCAGTCTCCTCCAATATATTGATCAAATCCCTTTTTAAAAGTCTCAAAGAACTCTTTAGAATAGGGAGATCTCATAATTTTAATATCTTCATCAAGTTCAAATTTTTCACTAACTTGAATTTGATTACTCATAGCAGCTTGTTTGTACCTATTCCTCTCTATTCGTCCTCTAACTTTTTTCATTTTCTTATCCTGTCGCTTATTTCGTTGTCTTTTGGGGACTTCTACTTTAATTAGAGATTACTCGACATCACATGTTACCATTTCAGTCGGCTCGTTAGACCCTTTAACAGTAACAATGTCAATAATTCTCATATTGGCTTGAGTTCTTGGTGTGCATATTTTTCTCAACTCTCCTGAAATTAGAAGAGGAACACCAAATTGCTTCTTAGCAGCTTCGAGTCTACTAGCTGTGTTTACATTTGGGCTCAAATAACTAGCATCAATTTTAAAATCAGAACCGATAGCTCCTTCAATAGCCCATCCTACGTGTAGTCCAAAACCTAATTTGACTTGAAAATTCGGCAACTTTTCTAGAATCTTCTGATTGTGGCTATATCTCTCAAGTTTGTGACTTTTCCTAATTTCAGCAATAATCTTCAAGAAGGACATGACACTCATATCTGCATATTGTGCATTTCTTCCATTTCTCTTAGTTACCAATTCTCCACCTTCATTTACCTCAACATCCTCAGAATTGAATTTCCAAACAAGCAAAAATGCATCTCCGATATTCTTATTAGCAGCTCCTGAGTATCGATCAACTACTCCATGAACGATATTAGCAACTTCATTTACAAACAGCATGACATCTTCTTGCAAAACTTCAGTTGCATCGGTGAAATTCCTGATGTCACAAAACCCAAAAATGGCGACAACTTTACTGTTGGCATTATCTCCTTCATTACCTATACTATCGGCAATAATCTTCGCTCCTGCTTCTCCAAAACCAATAGCGAGCAAGGCACCAATCTTAATGATGGTCTGTTCAATTTTGACTGTTTCATATTCATCATCTGTATTTTTTTTCCTCAATTTCTTATTCTTCTTCTTTTGCTTCATCATAGCTCTCTCATAAGCTAGTGCTTCATTCTCTTCTTCAATAGCAGCTTCAAGAGAATTTTTAGCTATCCTATTTACTTTAGAAATCATTCCTTCAATCGGTTTTACGATTAAAAATGTAGCATCTCTTGAGAAAAAGAAGGCTCCAAAAGCGAGAACACATCATACAAAAATGGCTCTGGCTAAGCTTAACCCAGCAGTAAGGCGCACTGTATATGTGAAATCAAATACAGCAACAGCACCTCCTTTATCTGTCTTTACAAGTTCTAGCTCATAAGATCTAAAACTATCGAGATCTGTACCTTCTTTATCATAAATTCTGTTTGCTTTTGGTATTGAAGAGTTACCATGTATGTACACATTAATCGCAGGCATTGGGATATCTTTATGCTCTGCTATATAAGACTCAAACAAGTCGATATAGACTGGTGACATCATATTTTCTGTCTTACTCTCTACAAGATCAAGACCGTATTCAAAATATGCATTCTCTTCTTTATAAGTATTTATGGTGAACAAAGGCACTCAAAGAAGCATCAAAATAACAAGAACAAGTACTCTTCTTGTTGTTAAATCTGACATTTTTTGTCCTACTTGGCTTTCTTCTTGGTCTCCTTTCAATTTCTTCTTTAACGTATCCTCAGCAGTATTATATTTAGGATCTTGGACATATGAAATGAATGCATGAGCATGCCTATACATCTTAAATATTCTAATTAATCTGATAAGCCGGATGATTCGTGAGATCCTTGCTATTCTAGTACCATCTCTGAGGCTTTCTCCTTTCATTGCTGTATTATAAGCAGTTTCTGCATTACTAAATTCTATGCTCCCAAGGTCAAGCATAGCATGCCAAAGCCATCCAATATCAAAGAAAAATAGACTTAGTGTTACCAATAAATCAATGTAAAAGTAAGTGCTGGGAAAGTATCAAAACAGAAGATTAATACGCACAAAATAATAAGAGTATAAAACAAAGGATCCAGTGCTTTTGGACCTAGATTTCTAATATCGTCTGAGAACATTGACCATCCTGTGATAATCAACATGGATAGACTAAATCATTTGCTCTTGAACATTTTTATTATTTTTTCTTTCTTTGTCATTTTATTTCTCCCTCCATATACAGTCCCACCTGAATTTGTAGTCAAGTTCTTTGTAATTTGAATTTGCTTACGAGAGGATATTGCGCTCATCCTTTCAATAGCCTTCATATTCTGAGTCAGCTTTTGCTTTTCAGAATCATCATCATCCCCTGGATCACCTTCTTCCTCATCTTTATTGGAAGGAGGGTGCCTTTTTTTCTTATTAGGCTTCTTGCTTGGGATAGATTCTTCCTCTTCGTATTCCTCCTCTTCTTCTTCGCTCTTGTAATATTCTCATATTCAGAATAGCTAGAACGCTTGCCTTTTCTCATTTAAATATATTTATAAACTAATTATTTTGAAAACAAAATGGGGTTTTGGGGTTTTGGGGTTTTGGGGTTTTGGGG